TGTAAGTGCCAGGGGGATAGGTGTCCCCCTGTGTAGGAGTATAAACTAAAGGGATTATCTTTCGAAATAGTTGACTGCATAGACCTTGTTGCATCTTTGGTCATAGAGAGGTCAGCAGACAATCTTGTTTGATACCCTCGGGATAAAGACTATTTTTTTCTAAGTTTGATGATATCAGAGAGAATAAAATTATAGGGTAAGAGTACACAAGAAAAACAAAAAGAATAAAGAAANGGCTTTTTCTCTACGTTGAACTTCTCAATACAGAACAAGTTCAGTACTATTCGTTCCACCTTTTGATTTTTTGAAAATTCATCCATGATTCCAATTAATTATGTCGAAAATTTTGTTCATAAGACCAATGGAAGAATAATGGATCCTATTGATAATTCTAGTTATATTACAGATTCTATAAGTGTTCCGAGTTTCGAGAGTTTTAAAGATCTTCTGCCTAACATGGACGGTGTTACTGACAACGTTGTTGGAAGCTATGATGGAAGTTTTGAAGAGAATAAGAATTATTGGAATAGTGAACTATATTCAACGGCATTTCCAATGGGTTCGCCTGTGTTATAACGCTGGGATGTTAGTTACTCATATGTATGCTTACAGTATGGATGAACTATGTGTAATGCACTCGGTGTAGCATAATAAAGGTGTTCTAAACTAAGCGCCTACCTTAGGTTATTGGTTGAGAAAATACTTAAATAAAGTTATAATAATTAATGAAAATTGGTTGATTAAATGTCTTGTCATTAGGGTACATGTTACTTTGATCTCAATGTGATTAATTTTATTTTTGCCCCTATAAGATTTAATGAAGCATGTGGTCTCGGTCCTTTATGGCCTGTCTATATTAATTAACTAATAATGATAAGAAAAGAAAAAATATTTGGGAACTACAATATATAGCCAATAGCATGAATGTTTTTTAGGGAACAAAAGGTTGTTACTACGAATTTAGGGGAGGCCCCTACATTCGCAAAGAATAATGATATTTGCAATTACTCATTATCGTAGTCCCATTATGTCGCATACATGTGGCGATTATTGATTTGATGCATGAGTCAATAGAAGACCTACCACATTAATGCATCAAATTACTAACTGTTACATGTATACCACGTAGGGTGATTAAGACAGTGAGCGATTGCAAATAACATTACTCATTTGAAAAATGAGGGGTGTGATTTTTTTCCCCAATTCACCAGCCTTGGAAAAAATCTCCTCCCATATTTTGCTATAAAGGGGATAGATTTTCCACATGTTATTGCGAATTTGAGAGTGAAATTCTCCTTAAATTCTGAAAATCGGTCCCCTCTCCTAATTTTGCAAATAACATTGCGAATTGGGGGGGGGGATTCTCCCCTTAATTTACAAATCAAGAAGTGCTATGATAGCAGTGGTGGTGATTGTGATTTGGCATAGGTGGCAATGGCTACATTTAAAGGCGAATGGCTTTGCTCGAGATGAAAACTGTGTTGACGAGGGCAATTTCGA